GAACAATTTTCTTCTCCAAAAAAATAACTAATATATTCCATAAAATATAAAAACGACCCTCTATAAAGTACCCCCCCCCCCCCCCCCCGATGTTCCGACTCTGTCCAAAATATAATCTTCACCTCAGGCTGGAATAAAGCCTAAGTTCAAAATTTAATGTATTTTTCTTTATCCGTTTTTGAGTTTTCTTTAAAATTCGAAATTTACACTTTTTCTCAAATATCTCGAATACGGTTCATTTTAAAGAAATTATGTATTTAACAAAAATTAAAGAGAATTATATCACAAACAACTTTTAGTTGAACAATTTTCATAAAAAATTTTTTTTTTACATTTTGTCAAATTTCTCGAATACGGACCATTTTAGAAAAATTTTGTATGAACAAAAATTATATAGAATATTATAAAAAGTAAGTTTTATTTAAAGACACACACACACACACACACACACACACACACACACACACACACACACACACACACACACACACACACACACACACACACACACACACACACACACACACACACACACACACACACACACACACACACACACACACACACACACACACACACACACACACACACACACACACACACACACACACACACACACACACACACACACACACACACACACACACACACACACACACACACACACACACACACACACACACACACACACACACACACACACACACACACACACACACACACACACACACACACACACACACACACACACACACACACACACACACACACACACACACACACACACACACACACACACACACACACACACACACACACACACACACACACACACACACACACACACACACACACACACACACACACACACACACACACACACACACACACACACACACACACACACACACACACACACACACACACACACACACACACACACACACACACACACACACACACACACACACACACACACACACACACACACACACACACACACACACACACACACACACACACACACACACACACACACACACACACACACACACACACACACACACACACACACACACACACACACACACACACACACACACACACACACACACACACACACACACACACACACACACACACACACACACACACACACACACACACACACACACACACACACACACACACACACACACACACACACACACACACACACATCATCGCGAAAATAGTCAAAACGAATTCAGGGGACCCCAAAACGTCAAAAACTCGAGATCGAAAAAAATATTTTGCCTTTCGCACAAGTGTCTACACACATACACACTATTTATAGCGTGTGTTAAGAACTTATTTTCAGCAGAAAAAAGTTTTTACCACCGGTTTTGTATTTTTCAGGTAAGACAAAAACCTTTGAATAAACAGATAACAACTGCCTGGGATGAAACTTCTTCCTGGACCTTCTGTTTGTTAAAAAAGTTGTACATACATATAGAGTCAGAAGAGGACCTTCCTGATTGCCCTCGCAAAATGAACTCAAAAGACGAATCCAAACTTGGAAGCACAGAATGAAGTCGAGAATATTAAATTGGGAAAATATCAGCAAACCGTATGGAGACAACGGAAAGTCATCAAATCTTTAAAGAGAATAATGCTAGAAATCAAAAAAAAATTGATTGTGCAGGAAGAAGAAAATGTTGTTTTGGAAAATTTTGTAAATAATAAAAAAATTGTTGAACGAGTATTTAGGAAAACCGTGCGCAAAACTGTATCTAAGACATTCATTAAAATCTTTTGCAATTACACTACATTTTATTTCCATTAATTCATTATCATCAAACAAAATAATTGACTAGGTAAAAATTTGATAAATCATTAAAAATAATGTTGGTAAATTGTAAAAATCCTAAAATATCCACTTTTAAAAAGACTTGGTTTTACTGAATTTTTAATCTAATAAAAATATTACACTTTCAAATAATATAAATATGATATACCACTGGTAATTACTAACGTCAAACTAAATTAATGGATATTCTAAGGTGGGAACCAGGATCTGGTAACTCAAATGGAAAAACATGAGGAAGGTAATTTAGTACCACTCCAATTAACGGGATGGCGCTCGTATCGAAATGTCATAACAGTTATCAGCTCATTAAAACTTCAAACTTCAGAGAAATTCAAATAAAATGGCTATTGCATTTGAAGGTGTATTGAATTTTGATTCATCTAGAATCTAGATTTATTTTTCAACACCTTCCTATTTTAAGCATGTTTTCAAAAGATGGGAAGATGGATTTCAGCAACAAACAATAAAGCACTCCTAGATATTGGTAGTGATGCAATTTATACCACATTAAATATGCAGTCATCATATTAAGGATAACCTAATAATTTGTAATAAGTGTCTCTAAGAAAAATGCTCCATCACCGTTTAGCACCAACACCAACGGTAAGTAATATTTGAAAACTTGTTTTTGATTCAGTGTTAAAATAATTGGTTTGTTATTTAAATTTCTTTTTGTTTTTAGTTTTTAAATAATCATTGTTGTAAAGAAAATGTTGGCCCTCCAAAATACCCTGTCGATTGATGAAATATTTGAGCCTCAGCCATCAATATCAAAAACTGATTCAATGCCATTGACATCAAAAAAGAAAACGCCCTAAAATCTTCAAGGGTCCAAACGTGTGTAAGTTTAATTTATGCTCAAAAGTTAAATTCATTTATCACAGTGCCCACTTGATGAATAAAAATTTGATAACTACAAGTGCTGTATAAATGAATCAAGAAAACAATTATCGGATGAAGAAATGCTCCTCAACCTAACATGTCGACTTGATAACCATATGGCAAATGTTATCCACACTCAAATTTGTCTCGATAGTAAAAAAGGATGATGCTTCAACTTCAATTTTTTCAAACTTATTTGACACTCCAAGTCGCAAAACTTTAATAAAGGTCTTGAGCACTTATATATGCTGATTTTGTTACAGAAAACATTTTTGATAGGTTTGTTTTATAAATATTTAATTATTTAAATGGTGTAAATGCATATTTGTTTAGAGTATTTCCATGTTTAAATAGACAAATTATGTGATGCAGCGTTAATTTACTGTAATAAAAATAAATTAAATAAATTGCTTTTTTTTTCAAGTTTAAAATTAATGCAAAAATATAATGAAGTAAAATCAAATAAAGATATAAATTGGCAAAATATTTTACTAGTTTCAAATCACAATACAGTCAATATGGTTGTTTTATGATTTGAAACTAGTTAAATATTTTTCCAATTTTTTTGCTTTATTTTTTTTATTTATTACATTTTTGCGCTACTACAAAGTTAAATTTCAAAAAGTCCGCTCGTGGCGGGCCTATTGAATTTTAGTACCACTCCAATTTGATAGATGGCAGCACATCGACTCAGAATTTTATCATTAAGTTTCCCATCTATTCACATTAGTAATCTATGGTGGGAACTAACTGAATGGATATTTTTAATAATTGGAGATCTAACTAAGGTCCGTATTTATAAACAAAACTCAGCTGGGTCGGCCTTGGGTAAGTTGTTCTTGAACTAAAATCGAAGTTCGGTTATTTCGCGTAAATTTAGAGATGGGTAGTAACAAATCCGTAAATGTACTTTACAGTTACAGATTGGCTAATATCTATCTCTAAATTCGAGTGTAACACCGGTACCACCTGGAACTTTAGAGACGTAACCGAACTTCAATGTTAGTTCAAGTCCAACTCAGCTGAGTTATGTTTATAAATATGGACCTAAGTTGCTTGTTCGACAATATGGATTATAAAAACAGTTCACTACGAAATTCAATCCTATGTACCTATAGATATATTACGTTTAATTTAAATAAATAAACGTTGAAACTTATTATTAACTAATTTTTGTGAAAAAAAAAAAAGAGTTGCCCCTGTCAAAAAGAAGTTTCATGTCAAATGCGCATTGATTAACATGCGCATGATTGATTCCACTTGTAGGGTAATGTCCATACAATTGAAAATAAGTGTATTTAAGAAAATTTCTCTGACTATTTTCTATAGTTTGAAACGAATTGTCACAGGTGGCCAAATTAGACTACAATATTCCAATTTACTTCTAACAATTGTAGGTATCAAAATTGTACTAAACAGTTTTAGGTCATTAGCAAAGAATGTGCAACAAGAGTGGATAATAACATGATGGCCATATCGCCCGGAGATGGAGTTTGAGCACGACGCCGTCTGAGTGCAATATAGACAATCCACTCGAGTTGTACAGTACATTTTTTCTACGATCCACTAACGAAAATCTTCATTAATTTTAAAATAATTCTTGAATTTTACTAATTTATAAAATAAAATAAAATAAAATAAAAATTTTTCATCGCCCAGATTCGAACCCAGGCTATTTACGGCTACTTTTATTATTTTAGTTTTAATTAAATTAGTTTCATGTAGTTTAATTAGTTTTTTTTTTAAATGTGGACCAAATATAAATACTATTATTTATTGATTCTATACAAAAATGACTCATTTTAATATACATTTAGTCTCAATAATTAAAAAGTATACGGACGGTAAGTTTGACAGAATTGTCACTTATTTAAAATTTTAAAAATAACAGTAGTTGGTAGTCCAAAATATGAACTGTGATTGGTGGATTTTATTTTTTTGCAGTGTTCTCACTACCTAGAATCGATATGGAATATATTCGTTTTGTCGGACGCAATAGCATACTTTGTTTTGTAATCTGGGCTAAGATAAGCTAATACCCATGTGGGTGTAGAAAAAATTTGTAAACATTCCAAAATAAATAAAAGATAATTAGTAAATATAATGTAGTGCGCCTAAAGAAAGGAAAAGAATATTCTTTTGCTCATATTTTTTAATATGAATGACTTTAATTTATTTTACTATTATATTTTCAACTATCATTAATTTCCAACATTCGTAAAATTATTTCTATCCTAATTTATATTATGTTGTTAAAATTAGAACTTACCTACTGTGTACGAAAACAGATTGACTGCTACCATTGTCCAAATCGGGAGGATTTATCTTCAAATATTTGTATTCAGTCGTTTTAGTTGGTAAAGCAACAGTAATTTTAACTTTAGATGAGCTCGGAATTTCAATGCTTTTAAAAACAGTTTTCCTAAAACTTCATAAAACGTTTCAAGATTTTTTAATAGAATAAGTTGTAGGTGTTTATAAAATCTGTATTTTATATAATATTAAATACAAATAATACAATTATAGTACAAATGATTAGCTAGTAAATTTTCACGAGGAAGTGATGAAACGATGATGAGATAGAGATAAAACGATAACAAATAGTTTAAAATATTCTTCTTCATTTCACTGACAAACATTTGTAATCCCCTTTATTGTGCAGATTTGGCACCTTTATTTTTTGAATGAAATATGGAATAGTCGAAACAAATTATTGGCAACATACTTGATAATAGTTTGCCGACCTAAAACGTCACAATATCCAAAAATTAAATTGTTTTTTTTGTTTTTATTATTGTTAATTATCTATGTTATAGAAATAAAATGCTATACATTTTTTAAGGTCTAGAAAATGTAGATATGTATAATTAAAAATAATGATTATTACATTCCTATGTAAAATTCACATGCCTGATAAAAGTCTAGACATACCTATACAAAAAGAATGTACTGCTACGAATTAGTAAAGAAAAACCAAACATTTTCTTATATTTTGTGGATGGATTTATATTTGTATTGTTGTATTTTTTTAAATAAGTATAATTATCTAAAAGCTTACCTTAGGCTCAAATCGTTATCCATATTGAATGTTTATTAAATATGTACACTTTTTCAAAAACGATAAAAATTTACAACATCAGCACAGTACAGTTTTACATTTATTTTCTTATGTATTTTTTCTTTTCTATATGCTAAGAGCAAAAAGCTCTTATAGTACAAAAGCTTGAAGAATAAAAAACATTCAGTTTGCAAACATAAGCGGAGATACAAAACGGGTAAAAGAGCCAAAAAATATTGCATGTTTTTATTCTACCTGCAATATTATTAAATCGATTTATCCAGTGGTTCCCAAACTTTTTCGAGTTACCAGGCTCTTTTGAATTAAGTTTTTTATGTATGATTTTTATGACATAGCTATTGAAATTAATCCTAATAAAAATATCTATATCGTTTTAATTAAAATTTAAACAATGCTAAGAATAAATATCGAGTAGCCGTCAATTATTATATTATTACTTACCATCGCGGTAATATAAGATCTTTATCTTGTTTATCCCTTGAAATGTTGTAATATGTCTATGATTTTTGCCGAATGATGAACTAGGAAAAAACAATATTATCTGAAGATAAGCGATACGCCCTCTACTGTGAACTAAAAGTTATGCCATTTGACACTTGACCGTCTGTGTTCTGTCAAGTTTTATTTATTGTTTATCAGGTCATTTCAATATTTTAAAATTTAACAAGTATTTTGTTTGAAATAACTTATTTAATAATAAGCTAATGCTTTAAATTTATATCATATATATTAAAATATTATTTTATTTGAACTATAAGTGGAATATCAGTGAAAAACACACTTGTTTGGTGCCTGGATGCAGCCCTAAAAAAAATGGACCTTCTTTTACATTTCATTTGCTTCCTAAAGTTGGTAAATGTAGGGTAATTTTTATAAATTGCAAGTGGAAATTCTGCAAGAAATGTATGGTTACAAAAATTAAAAAATTGAGAAGCATTTTAAAGAAGATGATTTGCCTAGAGGTAATATAGATTTATTTTTCGATTGAATGTTTTTATTTTACCTTTTTTTGTGTTGTAGATGCCTCATCCAAAGTGAAAATAAATATAAAAAAAATCGCTGTGTCTTCCTGCCAGTTTTTAAATAAATGTTTGACGATTCTGTTCAATAAACTTCAAAATCAAATATTGAGAGAACAAAAAGAAGATCCAAACCACAGAATAAAGATTTGTGTCCAAACTAAAAAAAAGTTCAATGAGTGTTAAATGTGATAGTGAGATTAAACAAAGTCATAGTTGAGAGTGATTTGTTTCAAGATAACCTAGCTACTCACGCCAAACAAGACATAGGTTGCAAATACTCTTTTTCAAGTATATTGCCATTAGTGTACAAGTGCGCATACCTCAAAAATTAAAATAATTTCAGATCTTTTAAAATCTGACAAAGAGTTGTGTTCATTCACTGGTATTAACAACTTTAACATACTGTACTAGAAAATACAGTCAAATCAGCTGAAGTACTTCGGAAGATGGCCTATTGGGTATTGTAACTCAATAAAGAACGTTTATTATTATGTAAACATTGGCATATTTTGTTAACAGGAAAAATAAAAAAATATTTGATTTTTATATTTATTGCTTATAATAATAGCCTTTTTACCAACAGAATCAACTCGACCCATGCAACGAAGACTCATTTTTGAGAGTTTTTAGTTACCTTTATCCAGCACATATATTTGCCAAAAGCTTTGATCTAAATAAGTATCGCATATCTAAACGAAGAGGTTAAGCAACCAAAAATACTACCATCAAATATAGTAAATCATTTTAGGTCATAAAATACTTTGAATACTATATTATCTTAGATTTTCTCAAAACTGGAAATAATGAGTTACTATAGTCTTCGTTGCATGTGTCGAACTATTCCATTACAGAATAATATAAAAAATGTACAAAAATACATTATCAATGTACAATCACTCATTAGAAAATGTAACTGTACACGATGACTAGTAAACTTGAGAATAAAAATAATTATTAAAAAGAGTATTCTCTCAAGTACAAAATCAATCATAAATTTCAAGCTGTACATTTTCATTTATTGTATTAAAGAAGAGATCACATGAATTACTTATGTTATTAATATGATAATTATTCACACAATATCCAAACATTACAAACATCAGTGTGTTAAAAAGGTAAGAATAAGAACACTTGCGAAGTGTCATACAATTGTTTGTAAGATAATAAGTAACATGGATTAAATAATATATTATACAAGTATTAAGACTAAAAACTAATACAAACTACAAATTAAAATTATGACTAAGTAAATTTTACATCAAAACAAACAAACAAAATAGTACCTACTTGTGTTAATAGATGATTTTAAAAGAATAATTATTCTATGTTTTAAAACATCTTGTTAAATAAAATTATGGAATTGAAATAATAATTTGATTCATAAAAGTGAAGCCATAAATATTCTGCTTCCGTACCAAGGACACATAGTTTTTGTAATAACCATAAACTGATTTTAGATTTATTTGAAAATATAAAAGAATATCTTGTGTAGTGCCATTATTTATCGATTCTTCACAATAATCATTTGTAATTTATATTTAAACTCAATAACTAAAAACTATGCTGAAAATTAGTTTGACAGAATTGTTACTCATTTAAAATTTAAAAAAATAATGGTATCCTGGTGACCAAATATTGGTGGATTTCATATCTGTACAGTGTTCATAAAATGGATAAATATATTCGTTCAGTGGCCTACTTTTTCGTTCTTTAATCAGTGCGTAAAATAAATAATATACATGTGGGTGTAGAACAAAATCCAAAGGTATTCGATCGAATTAGCTTGATAGTTCTTTTATTATTTGAAACAGTATACACCTAGAACACTTTATTAAGACTCCTGAAATATGTTTGCACTGTCCACTGTTCCCAGCTTAAAACAAACACTGCCATTCACTAATTTTAAACATCTTGCACTGGCCTACAACAATATGGGGACCTGAATTCAATGCACTAGTTTGGAGAACAACTGCAAAAACGTGTTTATCACTAAATTCATTCTTTCCACATAAAAACTATGTGGCCCACATTTAAAATAGCATTTTCTTTAATAAAAGTCCTGAAATTTTCATCTGCATCAATATACTTCATAAGTTCTATTAAACTTAGCCTTATTTCAGACATCTCACTAAAAATAAAATAAATATATTAATATTTTATTAAAAGATAACACAAATATATCTTAAATTAACATAAATGAATGAATGTAATTTAAAAACAAAATTAATAGGGGGTTACTTACCAAATAAAAATATATATTCTACTTTAACCTAAAAACTATTGAAATAAAAGTATCTAATCACTAAAAATTAACAACAACAATATGTTTTCCCTCGTGTTTTCCTTAAAATAGCACAATATAAACTAAATACTTTTTATGGGTTGTTTGTTTACAAACTCAAAAATGTAAACAATAACAAGCCATAACAATTAGTTTAAATGTTAAGTACAGACGGCGCTGCGATCTTAATTTTAGATCCCAATAGTCTAAGATCCGAAATAAGGTCGACCTTCACCCATCTGTTTACCGGATGAAAGTTTTTTTTTTATTAAATTAAATATGTTTTTAAATATACCGCAAATGGGTTGCCTAAGAAAATTCGGTCCATACTATTTATTTTCTTAAAGTAAAAAAAAACGACACCCTGTAAAGTATTCCCAAAATGCTTTGACTGTGCCCAAACTTTAATCAGCTCATCGCAGGATATATTAAAGCCTAATTTCAAAATTTGGTGTTTGTCTCTTCATCCGTTTTTGAGTTATCTTCAAAATTCGAAATTTGCACTTTTCATCAAATATCTCAAATTGGGTCCATTTTAGGAAAATCATGTATAGAGACAAAATAATAGAGAATGACATCATAAACAACTTTTATTATGATTCCTATACTTTTCTTATCTGTACACAGAGAGGAAAGTAAAAAATGGCCGTGACCGTATTTTCTTAGGCAACCCATTTGCGGTATATTTAAAAACATATTTTATTTAATAAAAAAAAACTTTCATTCGGTAAACAGATGGGTGAAGGTCGACCTTACATACGGATCCTGGACTAATAACCTTTCTACAATGTTATTTGTAAAAAAGTAATAAATTATCACATTTTTACAACTAGTCGTTTGATATGTCTAACGGAGACAAATTTATGCTGATTTTAAGCAAATAATAAGCATTTTGGGCTTGTTTGTGAGCCAAGCATGCCACAATCTTTATTTAAGAAAGTTTTAGGAACGCGTGCTAAAAAAATCTTCTCTAATTGGGTGATTAAATCAAACAAAAAAATTGTTTAATGAAGTATGTATATTCTGATTTCTAATACTTAAAATGAAAATCGTTCCAGTTTGATTTTAGTATTCAATACTTAATTCAAGATTTCGCACGATTTTAATATTATAATGCTCTATGTAAGTTTATTAACTCTATGGATGCTAGGTAATTTAAGTTTGGACATTCTTGAATTTAGAATGATAGTTGCCGTATATAAGCACTATCATACTTGAATCAAGCATGTTTATTCTGCATTTGAATATGCAGCTTGCTTAATCTAAAACTGAATATATTTTTAATTTGATAATATGTAGATCTTAATAATAATAATCTTAAATTAAGAATTATTTTGCTTCTTTTGAGTATTTTGAGTACTAAATTGGGTAACGTTCAAAACGATCTGCAACACCTATTATGGCAGTATTTATTGTACTATGAGCAGAGTCCCCGTCACTCTGTCCATGGTTTGTTTCGAAAAACATTAATGATATTTTTTCATAATTATCAAAAGATTTTATTGTGGCCATAGCAGGCGCCCGAGTAGAAAGAAAGGGTAGCAATTTGGTCTTTATTCGTAAAATATTCCAAAGATTTATAAATAAATGTAGAGATTTCAGAAGTTTATACAAAAATGATATCGACAATATTGAAGATTTACACAATTAAAATTATGAAGCAACAGATCCTGTGAAAATCCGCGAAGGGGTAATAATCATAAATTTTAAAATTGATACTTTTGAAGAATCGTCTCTGTACCTTTTCTAGGTTTGCAATTTGACCATCATATATTGGAGACCAAACTGC